AGAGGTGATTAGATTCTGAGGACTATTCCTAATGAATAGATTAAAAATGTTGGTCATAGGTGTGGTTCTGAGGGTTTAAAAGGAGAGTGCATGAGGAGCTATTGCTCTCTTTGCTCCACCACTTTCTGCCATGTGAAACCCCTGGGTCACTGTTGCTACTACCAAGGCCTCCACCAGCTGTGTTCCCTGGACTTCGGACTTCCCAGCCTCTGAAATGGTATGCAATAAATTTCATTTTCTTTATAAATTACCCAGTTCCAGGTATTTTGTTATAAGCAACAAAAACAGACTAATACAGATGTATTTCTGGACTCTCAATTCTATTTCATTATCTATGTCTATCCTTATGCCAGTACCACACACTCTTGATTACCATTGTTTTGTATTAAGTTTTTTTTTTTTTTTTCATTTTTGTCTCTTTTTTTTTTTTACTGACCGGTAATGGGATCGCAACCCTCAGTGTCGCGCCCGTACCAGGGACCGGCAACGGGATCGCAACCCTCGGTGTTGCGCCCGCACCACGCTCAGCCAGTGAGCGGGAACTGGTCTCGACATGGGATCCGAACCCTCCATGGGAGCGCCACCGCACTCCCAAGCGGCGCACTCTCCAGTGCGCCACCGGGCCGGCCCTGTAGTAAGTTTTGAAATAAGGAAGTGAGCCTTCCTATTTTGTTCTTCTTTTTGAAGATTATTTTGGCTATTCTGGGCCCTGAAATCCAGAATTTTAGGATCAGCTTATCAATTTTTACAAGGAAGCCAGGTGGGATTCAGGTGGTATTCTTGCATTGAATCTGTAGATAAATTTGGGGGAAATCGACATCTTAACAATACTGTCTTCTGATTCATGAATGTGGGTGTTTTACATTTATGTAGACCTTCTTTAATTTATAACAGCAATATTTTATAGTTTTCAAAGTACTGTCTTAGTCTGTGCTGCTAGAGTAAAACCACCACAGACTGCGTAATTTATAAAGAACAGATATTACAGCTGGTTGATTAGCTCGGTTGGTTAGAGCAGGATGTTATAACACAATGAGTTCAGATCACTGTACCAGCCAGCTGCCAAAAAAAAAAAAAAAAAAAAGAATTGTATCTTTAGGGCTGGCCAGTTAGCTCACAGGAGAGCATGGTGCTAGTAACACCAAGGTTATGGGTTCAGGTCCCCATACAAGCCAGCTACCAAAAAACCACCCCCCCAAAACAAAAAACCACAACTAACAGAAATGTATTTTTTATGTGTGTGTGGCTGGCCAGTATGAGGATCTGAACCCTTGATCTTGGTGTTATCAGCATCAGGATCTACCAAGTAAGCTAACCAGCCAGCCCAAATTTCTTTCTTTTTTTTATTTGCACCTGGCTGGTGTGAGGATCTAATATTTCTTACAGTGCAGAGGATGGAAAGTCCAGGGTCAAGGTGCTGGCATTGATGTCTTGTGATGGCCTTCTTGCTGTGTCCTCCCATGGTGGAAGGCAGAAGGGCAAGAGAGCCTAGCTAGTTCCCTCTAGCCCTTTTTATAAGGTTGCTAATCCCATTCATGAGGTTTCTGCCCTCATGACTTAAACCACCTCCTAAAGGCCCCATCTCTTAATACTATCACATTGGTGATTAGATTTCAACACATGAATTTTGGAGGACATCCAGACCATAGTAATAAGTTTTGAACTTTTGTTAAATTTATTCCTGAGTATTTTCTTTTTGGTGCTTTTGTGATAGCTATGGTGCTAGTGTGAATGGAATTGTTTTCTTAATTTTAGATTGTTCATTGCTAGTGTATAGAAATACAATTTATTTTGTATATTGAGCTTGTACCTTGAATCTTGTTAAACTCTTTTATTAGCTCTAATAGATTTTATTATGGATTCCATAAGATTTTCTACATACAAGCATATTAGTTTGCTAGGGTTGCCATAACAAAATACCACAGACTGAGTGGCTTAAACAACAAATATTTACTGTCTCACAGTTTTAGAGGCTAGAAGTACAAATTAAGGTGTCAGCAGAGTTGGTTCCTTCTGAGGGCTGTGGGAGGAGGATATGTTCAAGGCCTTTCTCCTTGGCTTGTAGAAAGCCATCTTCTTCCTATGCCCCTTAACATTATCTTCCCTATATGTGTATTCTTATGTCCAAATTCCCTTTTTATAAGGACACCAATCATACTGGATTAGGGCCCACCCTAATGACCTCACCTTACTTACCTCCAAAAAGAACCTATTTCTAAATTAGGTCATATTCTGAAGTACTGGGGGTTAGGACTCTGACATATACATTTTGGGGGGGACACAATGCAAGACACAATGCAAACCATAACAAGAAGATCATGTCATCTGTAAATACAGATGGTTTTACTTCTTCCTTTCCAATCTGGATTCCTTTTATTTCTTCTTGCCTAATTATCCTGGCTGGACCTCCGGTATAATGTTTTTTTTGTTTGTCTGTTTTGTTTTGGTAGCTGGCCAGAACAGGGATTCAACCCTGGACCTTGTTGTTACCAGCACCTTGCTCTAGCCAACTGAGCTAATCAGCCAGCCGTCTCCAGTAAAATGTTGAATACAAATGGAGATTCTTATCTTGGAGGTTTCACCATGTTTTTCGGTTTGGGTAGAGCACTTGGTACTACCTTAAATGATCTTGCTTGCTTACTTGTTTATTGTTTATTTTTGAAAGAATGAATAAATGACTTCCTGCAACCACTACCCTACTTCAGACTATTTTCTTTTCCTTTTTTTGGCGGCTGGCAGGGATAGCGATTGAACCTTAGACCCCGGTGTTTCCAGCATCATGCTCTAACCATCTGAACTAATTGGCCAACCCTCCAGACTATTTTCTTCTCACCAGGGTTACTACCACATTCTCAACGAACGGCTTCTCTCTAAGCCCCTGCCAATACACTGTTCACACTGCAGCCAAACTGTGCTCTAAAACTCATACCTAATTCAACTCCACACTTATTAACTCTTATTAACACTTATTAATAAAGTCTCTTAAGCCTCTTTTATCTCATCTATATTAACAGGTTGATAATAATGGCACCTACATCACAGGCTTGTTGAGACGAGTCATGTAAAACGCACCACAATGCTTGGCACATGGTAAGAGCTCCAGGGATGTCTATTATTTCCTGCTTTAAAAAGTAACACAAAACTTACATTACTAGGTGTTACTATATACCACTCTAACTGCAACCAGATGAAGTCAGATGAAGTTTAAGTGTCTTGCCCAAAGTCATGCAGCTCGGCAGTAGTACTGATGGAATACGAACCCCGGCACTGGACTCTCAACCATCTCTTACTTGCATTATTCTCTAATTGCACCTCTGTGGCTTCCCAGAAACATCAGCATGAAATCCAAATCCTCAGAATGCTTCTAGGGATCTCCAGAACTCGCCCTTGCCAGCCATCCTAGGATTCTCTCCTGCCAATAGCACCTTCACTATGAGTTCCCGTTCTACCACTACTAGTTTTTCTCAAGTTCCCAGTCTCAAAGACATGCGTTTCTTGCTTCCTTGGTGAGATAACCTCTCCCTCACCTTGCTTGGTCTCAGCGACCCCTCAGGAAACCTTTCTTGACATCCCAGGGCCATGTCAGGATTCCTCTCCTCTGAGGTCCCGCAGCACCTCGCATTTCTCCCATCGCCACGCAGACCACACTGCGTTGTTTACTCGTCTGTCACTACCCTGTGAGTTACAATGCTGCGACTGTAACTTCGACTTACCACGTGGTAGGACATAACCAACACTGCAGAAAAAGATTCATCCGGGCAATTGAAAGAAATTAAAAATTGGTGCGCTCTCTGCTATCCCGTATTTGTAATCTGCCCTAAATCACACTAGTAGTCTTTACAGGTTTTTTTTTTTTTTTCAATTCGCCTGCGTCTCGCCGTACCAAGGTCGCCGATTTTCCCACAAAGAAAACCCAGAACGAGCAGCAAGCACAGCCTGCCAGAGCGGCGACCTTTTAAAACGACAAAATGGCGGCCGCCTCTCAGCGGCCCCGAATCTCCACCCACTCAGGGCGGAGGTCTGCGTCATGTGACCCTCCCCGCCAAGCCCCGCCTCCCGTCGCAGTGCCTGACGGGAGGCGGAGAAGCTAACGAGGGCGTCGGCCATTTTGTGTCGGTTTCCTGTGGGACGCGGTTGTAGCCGTTGGGTGGGGAAAGTGAGGTGTTTTTCGCCTTGTTTTTCCTGCTTTTTGTCTCCCTTTTTCTTCGTCGCACCTTGCTCTAGCCAACTGAGCTAATCAGCCAGCCGTCA